AGAGATTTTCTCTGGCAACTGCTCGAGTTAGCGAGCGGGATAATGAGAGTAACATGTGGGATCGAGATATGTTTTGGTGCCTCAGCAGGCTGGAGCATAACAGCTCTTGCTCTTAAAATGACCCCACAGGAGGGTAAACTGAACTCCTGAGTTCACCCCTCTCAGCAGTGCTGTAGTCTACATTTGTGTAGTGGGTATACCGCGGTAAAGTTAGTTTTACGTTGGACACCGTTGAAGCCACGGAGCGTGAATGTCCAGCGTCCAACGTAAAACTAACTTTACCACAGTCGGTCCATATACTGTACTGTGCTTAGAAACCAAAGTACACTGGTTAGTACAGTGTATTTGTCGATTTATGTTGATTTTTAAGCATATTGAACATTTTCAAATTTCTCTGATGCTTATATTTCAATAAATGTACAACAAACTTTGTATAACAGCTGGCGTTGTACTAAAAACACGTTATAGAATTTATAAAAGGTATCAAAGCAAAACATGTTCAAGTATTAATAAGTACTGAAGTATTAATTATACAGTAATTTGCTGGATAAGCGAATGTAATATCCAAGCGCTGCATTGATTGCTACAAAAGCGTTTAACTGTCACTTAACTTATCAATGACACGTGCCTAATGATATGTCATGTATCATTGGGCACTTTTAAGTGGGTATACTGAAATTCTTAAGCTTTTCCAGTGGGTATACTCCGTATGTCCGTGTATCTCGTAGACTACACCACTGCCTCTCAGCTTCTCTTCCCTTTGTTACTCACAACCGGTACGAGCAGTGCTAATGAAAAATGTCACTGTGCCCTTATAAGAGCATGGCTTTCATAAAATCTGACCAAGACGGAGAATGGCGTCCATGAAGATTTGCAGCCTAGCACACTGAGATGTAGTAGAGCTCAGGAAATGTTGGCAATAAAGTTGTTTCAAAGTGGGTGCTGAGAAATTAAATATGCAGAATGCACTTTACAGCCAAGGTCACCTCACTTATTTAGTCGGTCACTGATGAAAACTCATAAGAAGACAGATTTGTGTGTGTAGCCAGCAGATGTTTGTAATTAGTATGTCAACTCCCACTGTGCAGCAGCTGACATATTACTCTGATTACATGTTTACCATGTTCTATGTGAGTCTGCTTTCACCAAAACCATTTAGTCGTCTCACTGAAGCTGTACACTGCTGCACAAGGAGGTGTGGGAATCCTGGATTATGATGCAAATGTTCACATTTCAAAACTAAAATTGAAAACACAAATCCATAAAAACATATACACTGTCAGCATGATTGCAGCACTAGCTTACTGTTTAACAATGAGTGCATTTTTCCATCCATCAAACAATAAGGATAAAGACATTGTGCAAACAAATGAATGTATTATAATTATGAACATTTCAGTATGTTAAACACAATAAAAGCTAATTTTATCTTGCATCAGTGTGCACTAATGAGGCGTATTTTAAAGTTTGTATGACACGTGCATTGTACTTATGACCATTTATAACTGTTCAGTAAGCAGTGCAGGCCTCCTGCTTCTCAACAACTACCACAAACCAACCACTGATGAAGTCTTTCAATTTCTTGATCTGTTTATCATCACTGATTATGAATGTATCTGTCTAATTAGTTTGTTTTCTATCTCTCGAACTGTGAATCTTAAAGGATGGTCAACTATGTCCCTGAGGGATTAGCAGAGATGACTCGGGTGAGGAAAGCTGTCAAATATTTGTTTATTTTAAGATGTCACTGAGATGTGAACAATTGGCCAACAGCATTTGTGAGAAAGTCCCTAAAGTGTTTCTTATGTTCACAGGGTTCTTAATGTCTTTGCCTGAGTCGTAAAGGCTTCTGATCTTGGCGCTATTCACAAAATGTGTGCAAAAATATAATGCTCAGACTAGTTGTAGAGTTATCGTGGGCAACTTGAACCCTTCTCAGTTTTGCTGTAGACATCTCCAACTAACCTTCACTGAAGATCTCAGTCATCCAGGACATGGTAAATTCAAAAAAGTTCAAGACAATAACAAGCAAACTTGATTTTCATCAGGTATGAAGTGAGCAGAGGTGGACGATGAAATAATGTGCGTTTTCTATGGTTTTGCAAACTGTGGATACAAAAACAAATCATGTTATTCAAAAACTGGCTGCTCAAAACGTGGCTGCACGGCTCGCTGGTCACTTGGTCGCAAATCCTCACAATTCAGTGAAACTGCAACAGAAAATTTGCCAATTTTTTTACACAACGTTATGCATTAATGGGTCGCCAACGAATCTCCATCAATTGCTGCCCAATACTATCTTTTGTCTTTGTTGGCTACTCAAGCAGTACAGTACATTTTTACATGTTCTCTCATACCATTACCATATTTAATGCAGGCTGATTCCTGTATCCCAGCTCAAAGGGAGTGTCTTCCATCAGGTCTAGTCCTATATTCTGTACATTCCATTCCCCTTAGAAGCAGAACGCAGATCTGAAAATGGCCTCAAACCCAACTTCACTGTGGACTGGTTGTAGGTCAGAAACCCAGTGGCATTTGCTAATAGCGCTTGTCAGAGATACCGGTACTAAAAATAGCTCTTTACGCAATATATGATGTCAGCAAGTACCTGGATCTCAGTCAAGCAGAACTTCTGATTACAATGCAACTAGCGCTGTACTCGTGATTTGTTCCAATTAAAAAAAAAAACTTTAAAGATGGTATCCAAGAAGCTGTGTTGCTACAGGACTTAGTATAGTGACCGCAAATACGCTGACAAGCCTCGTATGTAAAGTATTTGGGTCTTGCTGTTTCCAAAACTGACTACTCTGGAGCGAAATGTGATCATTGGTTGCTGGTTCAACTCCCTAGACTGACAACATCTAAATGTGGGTGGGAAAGATGAAGCACCCACATCTGCCTCCACCCTCATTTGCCCCACTCTGGCACTTGCGCAAGGCTCTTAACCCCCACCATCTGCTCCCCCAGGTGGTAGCTTGGTGGTCTGTGGTTGAGTTAGGAAGGGCATCCGGCGTAAAATCAATTGTCATGTCTTGGTGCGAGTTAGTTCGCTGTGGCGACCCCCTGAAGAGGGGAGCAGCTGAAATAAATAAATAAATGAATGAATAAAATAGCAGCCCTACTTAAACGAGATGCAAACTGACAAAAAATGCTAAGCAATTGTTTACTTCTGAAGTTACATTACTTTCTTCCCATGAAGCAGCTATGTTGGGTTTTGAGTTGAGAGTAGCGAGGAAACTTCAACTTTTGACTTTGGGAGATTATTATTATTTATTTTTATTTTTTTAATTTAGAAAAGTTTGACTACAAGGTGTACGTTTGTTTTATTGTTCCATATCCTAATCATTAAATCTGATCTCTGGAGATTCAGATATTAACGGCAAAATTGAGTTTTTGATTGAAGGTTTGACATTTCAGAAGATGCGCTTATTTGCCTTATTGCTAAATATGTACGAAGGTAGGATAATTCCTGCACTTTTCTACTACTAGTTCAGCCAGTTACTGAGCCTCATCTTAGCTAAAGATTAATGGCCAATCAAAATCTGACTAGTCTTTGTTGCACAGCTACATCATGTCAAGTCAAATTTATTTATAAAGCACATTTAAAACAGCAACTGTTACCAAAGTGCTTAACAACAAGATCAAGGCAGTAAATACAAATAAGATGTAATATATACATATACATCATATATAATACTAGAAGGTACCTTACTGTTAAACCACATCCAAATGCATATTGCATATTTCCCCATTGCTTCCGTATAAAACATTAGACATAATGTTTTTATGCTATTAGTGCTTAGTGTATTATTTAGTAGATGTTTTTCTTAGTTCATATCTTTGCTCTTATAACTGTTTTTTTTTTTTTACATTTTATTGTTGGATGTAACTGGGACCATGCGTACATAATCTCGTTCCACCTCGTGTGATGCGAATGACGAATAAATCTCTCTGACTCGTATAAAAGTAAACATTTTGTGTCATTAACTGAAGTCAGACTTGTTAACTGCCGTGTGCGACTAGTGCTGAATGTGAGCTCCTTCAACAGTGATTTACGTTTATATTAGAGGAACATTTTCATCAAATCTTCATGTAAAATGAGAATCACGCTGCTAGAATCATAATACAAAGTAGTTGGACCTGAATAAAGTGTCCATCCATCCATCCATCCATTGTCTTTACCCGCTTATTCCATTTTGGGTCACGGGGGTCGCTGGTGCCCATGTCCAGCAATCACTGTGCGAGGGGCGGGGTACACCCTGGACGGGTCGCAAGTCCATCACAGGGACACATAGAGACAAACGAGACAAACAACCATTCACTCTCTCACTCACATGCATGTTTTTGGTCTGTGGGAGGAAACCGGAGTACCCGGAGAAAACCCACGCATGCACGGAGAGAACATGCAAACTCCACCCAGAAGGCCCCTGGACCGGGGTTTGAACCAAGGACCTGCTCGCTGAGAGGCAGCAGCTCTACCAATTGCGCCACCGTGCTGCCCTGAATAAAATGTCGTTTATTATAATTATACATATTTTTCCAAGCATTTTAGTTGTTCTTGTCAGAGATTTGGGACTTTTTCTGAAAAAATAAAATAAAATAAAATAATGGAAGCCATACAGTGGGTCTTAATACACAACAAATTGTTGTCCATTTTGTTTTTTTCCTTTCAGTTAGGATTCTGACTTGGGCTAATTTGCCTGAGGTTGCTTTTTTCCTTAACAACAAAGGGACTCCCCCCTACACACACACACACACAGACACACACACACACACACACACCACAGTCTTCCTCCCTCCCTTCTTCCTTGAGTTAGTTTGCCCTTTTTAGGCTGTTCCTCTTTTTTTTTTTCTTCTGAAAGAGGGATAGGATGACAGATTTTCCTGCTTCTTGTGGACTGGAGCCGGGAGAGAGAAAACTGTTTCTTACTCCGGCTCCAAGTTTGGGAGGAAGTTACCACCTCTTTAGTCCCAGACTTTGCACACACACACACACACACACACACACGTTGCTCAGGACTGGAGCACAGCAGCAAGTGTGAAACAGTCAGGACTGTTTGTGTTTTGGAGGGAAAGAAGTCTGAGTTTTTCAGCTTGCCCGGAGCTTTCTGTGTTGCCTGAACAGCTTCTGCAGGACTTTTTCTCTCATCACCCACCGGTGAGTTTGACAGTTTGTTTCAGTGTCTGTGCACTTCCATAGAAACCCCTGTGAACCATACAATGTAGCCTCTGTTACGCTTTGAATGCTTTGCTGATGATGAAAACTTCAGCTTCCTTGCTTGGGGTTGTGAAAACGTCCACGCAGTATGGACTTTTATGTTACAATTGGTTTAGTAGGTTTTTTACATGTAATATAAGTTGTGTCAAATATGACACAGAGGTTGATTGATGGAGGTTAACAGTTTTCTGTGATGAACCACATGCCACTGTTTTGTCTTAAACACCGAGCTGAACATCCATCCAAACAGTGCCAGAGCTTTGTGGAGTTGAACCAGTGGGAAAGTAGTTCAGACACAACAGATCAAAACTTCCTCATGGCTTTTTCCTGTACTTTATTTGCCAAGTTTTGCAGTAATCAGTTAGCCGTCACCCTGCTAAAATAAAGACGTTCTATTTTAATTTTAATGTCCAAAAAGCAGCTTTCATTTAATCACATCTATCATGGTCTTCTTTAAAGCAACATAGATGTACATACACTCAACATATGGCTCTATTTCTTATTCAGTCTTTTCATCTTTTTTTCCCAAACACAAGCTCATAGAAACATTCTTGCGTGACAGCAGCTGACCATATGCTTCAGCTCCCATATCTCCGTTTACCTCAGCTGGATGTTTGTAGTTACCTCACTTTTCCACTGATAGGAGGTGCTGAGGGAGAAGAGAGGTGATGGGTAAGGGGGGGATTGAACGGGGCTGATCTCCTGGGTCCTTATTAATTTACACAATCTAAACAGACAGGCAGCACTTTAGCCGCGCCTCCAGTAGTCAGTCTGATAAGCCCTCAGTGATTGATTGTGAGAGGTGGTTAACACCCCCCTCTGCCCCAAGGCTGACTGAGAAGTGTTGACTTCTCTGTGACCTGCTCAGGCTGTTCATGTTAGCAGAGTTTCCTTTACCCCAAAGCCCAGCGCCTCATTTATCAGTCGGTGTGTGTTATCTGTCCACCGGCTGGTTGTGAACTCATTTTGGTTACCCACAGGTCAGAGGCTGGATTCTCTTTTGACTTGCTTGTCTAAAGCCTTAAAAAAAACATGTGTAAGTTAAGTTTTAGGCCCTGTTTACACGACAACGATCCAATGAAAATTAATCCCCCCCCCATTTCTGTTAACACATTTACATGAAAACGTTCTCATTACGATCTCTGTTCACACGGTAGACATGAAAAAGGTGTAATTCCCTCGCCACGCCACTAGTTGGTGCTATGTTCTTTGAAACTTGGAAATGTTCTACCTGAAAGGCGCTACAACGGTCGAGGTGGCAGAGAATAAAATATTTCTATGGACAGACGATGAAGTTCCACTGTTGCTTAGGGTGACTTTGAATTATAAAACCCCCAAGTTTCAAGAGGACCTTGACTGGGAATCATACCAGTCCATTGTCAATAGTTTCTTCTTCAGTGGATTGTAGGAAGCCGTTATGTTTTGTGTCATACTGCCCATGAGCCAGGGATTCCCTGACAGAAAAGATCTATTGCTTTCTTTTTACACGAGAACAGACATCCGGACATTTTTGAACCATTGCGCTCTGGAACCTGTTCTCAAATTGTGCCATTGTCAGAGAAAACATTCCCTATTAACAGTACAAACGCAACAAAACTCTTCCATTTTCACCAGAAATTGTTTTTGTGTAAACAGGGCCTTAGGCTGGGGAGAGAATGGGTTCCAGAGTGCAATGGTTCAAAGACGTCCTGGTGTCCGTTGTTGTGTAAACAGAAAAAATTGATCTTTTCTGTCATGGAATCCCTGTCGCATGGGCAGTATGACGTAAAACATAACGTCCTCCTACAATCCACCGAAGAAGAAACTGTCAACAATGGCAGATAGCAAAGTATTGTTTGTGCTTGTGAGTCTGATAAATCTAACTATGACTCTCCAACACAATGCTCATTTTCTATCTCTTTACTTAAATAATCGAAAATTAAATAAACAGTTTTTTTTTTACGCATGCATATTTACAGTTTCAAGTTTCAAACAACATAGCACCAACTAGTGGCGTGGTGGAGGAATTACACCGTTTTCACAGCTACCGTTGCTTTGTAATCAGAGATTGTAATTAAAATGTTTTCATATAAATGTGTTAATGAAAATGGGGGAAAAAAATCAGTTTTCATTGGATCGTTGTCGTGTAAACAGGCCCTTAGTCTTGTCAAAACTAACGTATGTTAAAAAATAAAACAGCTTCATAAAGACGAAAGATAGATACAACTTCATAAGGAAACGGTAAAAGTTTCAACAGCAACAAGCATGTGCAGCTGCATCAGATACTGTACAGGCTAAAGATTTTTTTTTTAAAGCAGCTCGTAACATTAATTAATAACACCTTTCATATTTCTTCAACAGAATGGGTCAGCAGATGCAAACACTGTGGATACAGTGTGCTTCTGTTAATACAAAATACTTGCTCGTTTGCTACATTTCTATTTGAGACGGCTTCATTTTTCAGGACAGCTAAACGTTTGATGCACTGTATAAGATAGTCACACACCAAATATTTACTGATGAGCAGCAGAAATGCTGTGAAATGGTTAAATGAAGCATAAAGTCACACCAGATCAGATGATGATCAGCAGATCTCTCAGACCTCCAGCTATTGGAAGCACTCCACCTCCAAACTGTCTTTCAAAAACCAAAACTTCTACTATGAACAGCACAAGTGTTGCTCTTACTGGTCCATCTCCAAGTAAGTAAGAGTTTGACCAAATTCTCGTTTTTGGAATTCTCAAGGACACCAGGATGGCAAGAAAAAACTAATTTAATGTAGAAATTGCCTCAAAAAACTGCATTTAAATGGCTTAAAATTGTCCCACAGGACAGACGGTTCCAAGTAGAAGTTTCGGACACATTCCTGTTAAGGTTTCGGCAAATGTTTCACAAGTGAAACTCAACAAGCCCACCTGGACTTTTACTTCTGTATTGGTCACTTATAAAATAAAAAAAAGTTCACAGTTTAGACCTGCCTATGCTTTGAGCTGCGTCAAACCTTTGGGTTGGATCTGCAGCTATGGGAACCACTGAAACACACGTAAAGATGCATTAACCCAGTGATTAATTAGACACAGACACAAACATTTGTCATGTCAAACAATCACCAAAAAAAGTTAGCTTTTTATGAAACGCTAAACTGACTTTTTTACTCCTCAGATCTGGTTTTATCAAAGTTGAAATACATGAGAACCAGAAAAGAGAAACAAGAAGTTTGTGTTCAACTTTTGAATTAACTTTTTTTTTTTTTCATTCATTCAACCTTTATTTATACAGGTTAGTTTTGTTGAGCCTCGGGGGCTTATTTACAAGAGAGACGTGTTTTTTTTTTTTTTTAACAATGAATGATGATAACAGTAGACAATCATAAAAGAAAGCAAATAAATTGAAAAGAATAAATGAAAGAAAATGGTATTATAAAAACAAAACCAACCAAAACATGCCAGTGGATTATCTGATTTATGTGTTCAACACATTTGTATGTATATATTTATTCTAATGGGGTTTTATAAATGGGTAATCCATGTAAAATAGATATTTTTAAAACACATTTCCATCATGATTTAAGTCAAGTCACTTCATTTGTAACATTATCGTATTTGTTTTGATTGTTT